TTTTTTCTTTTCTTTTTTTTTTTTGAGACGGAGTCTCACTCTGTTGCCCAGAGTGCAGTGCAATGGCACGATCTCGGCTCCTGCAACCTCCGCCTCCCGGGTTCAAGCAATTCTCCTGCCTCAGCCTCCGGAGTAGCTGGGATTACAGGCGTGCGCCACCAGGCCCGGCTGATTTTTGTAATTTTAGTAGAGACGGGGTTTCACCATGTTGGTCAGGCTGGTCTCGAACTCCTGACCTCGTGATCCGCCCGCCTCAGCCTCCCAAAGTGCTGGGATTACAGGTGTGAGCCACTGCACCTGGCCTTTTTTTTTTTTTTTTGAAATAGAGTCTCGCTCTGTCACCTAGGCTGGAGTGCAATGGTGCGATCTCGGCTCACTGCAACCTCTACCTCCCAGGTTCAAGCGATTCTCCTGCCTCAGCCTCCTGAGTAGCTGGGATTATAGACACATGCCACCATGCCTGGCTAATTTTTGTATTTTTAGTAAAGACGGGGTTTCACCATGTTGGTCAGGTTGGTCTCGAACTCCTGAAGTTGGCCTCCCAAAGTGCTGGGATTATAGGCATGAGCCTTCTTCCACTTCTAATAGACTCTACTAGTCTGGGAAATGCACCAAAAAGACAGCATGGTTAAAAGGTCAGTATTTCATGACCCTTTTTATACTTCCTATTTTTATTTTAGATAGGTTTCTTGATTGATGCAAAATGTCAATTGTAGTGGTAGGGAACTGGCATAAGGAAGCTTCCTAAACGGAGGTCTCAAGAGAGAACTGTGTTTCTTTTTTTCTTTTTTTTTTTTTTTTGAGACGGAGTTTGGCTCTGTCGCCCACACTGGAATGCAGTGGTGCAATCTTGGCTCCCTGCAACCTCCGCCTCCCGGGTTCAAGCGATGCTCCTACCTCAGCCTCCTCAGTAGCTGGGACTACAGGCATGCACCACCATACCCACTTACATTTTTCTATTTTAGTAGAGATGGGGTTTCACCATGTTGCTCAGGCTGGTCTCGAACTCCTGAGCTCAGGCAATTTGCCTGCCTAGGCCTCCCAAAGTGCCTGAATTACAGGTTTGAGCTACCGCGCCCGGCTCAAGAGAAAATTCTAACAGTCTTGCTAATGTTCTTGAATTAAAAGGAAAATATGGGTCGGGTGTGGTGGCTCATGTCTGTAATCCCAGCACTTTGGGAGGCCGAGGTGGGTGGATCACGAGGTCAGGGGTTCAAGACCAGCCTGGCCAAGATGGCGAAACCCTGTCTCTATCAAAAATGCAAAAATTAGCTGAGCGTGGTGGTGGGCGCCTGTAATCCCAGCTATTCAGGAGACTGAGGCAGGAGAATTGCTTGAACCCGGGAGGTGGAGGTTGCAATGAACTGAGATCGTGCCATTGCACTCCAGCCTCAGTAACTGAGCGAGATTCTGTCTCAAACAAAAAAAGAAAAAAGAAAAAAAGAAAAATATGTATTTTGTACACAATACTTTTGAGTGTAAAATAAGTTAACGGCCGGATGCAGTGGCTCACATCTGTAATCCCAGTACTTTGGGAGGCCAAGGCGGGAGGATTGTTTGAGCCCACGAGTTTGAGACCAGCCTGGGCAACATAATGAGACCCTGTCTCTTAAAAAAATTTTTTTAAAAAGCTTTAAAAAAATCATTTTCTCTGCAAATACTGAAGGTGTTGGTGCATTGTCATCCAGCCTTCTTCTTCACTTGGCAACTGAACCATTTGATTCTCATTTCTTTGTAGGTGACCTATAGATTCCCTTTGTTTTAGGAATTTCCTCTTTCTTTCTTTTTTTTTCTTTTTTTTTTTTTGAGATGGAGTTTTGCCCTTGTTGCCTAGACTGAAGTGCAATGGCGAGATCTCGGCTCACTGCAACCTCTGCCTCCAGGGTTCAAGCGATTCCCCCGCCTCAGCCTCTTAAGTAGCTGAGATTACAGGCGCCTGCCACCATGCCCGGCTATTTTTTAGTAGAGACAGGTTTCACTATGTTGGCCAGGTTGGTCTCGAACTCCTGATTTCGTGATCCGCACCTTGGCCTCCCAAAGTGCTGGGATTATAGACGTGAGCCACTGTGCTTGGTGGAATTTCTTATTTCTATCTTTTTCTTCTTGTTCTATTTATTTTTCTTTCCCTTTCTTTCTTTATTATGATTAATTTGGTGGAGCAACACCATTTATTTCCAGGACCAGCACTGGATATAACACAGTGAATGGAAAAAAGCTGTCAGCACTAATCACTGTCACAAAAATAATCCTACAGAATCTGAAATGCCAACAAGAAGTCCAGCTCCACTGGGAAATACCTGTAAATCACAGGTCTTTCCATTTCAACTGATATGACAACAAGTTTCAGCTTTAATTATTTACCAAATTCCTGAGCCATCTTTAAAGTCTTGTGGGTTTTTTTGTTTGTTTGTTTGTTTGTTTGTTGAGACAGGGCCTTCTTCTGTTGCCCAGGCTGGAGTACAGTGGAGCAATGATCACTCACGGCAGCCTTGACCTCCGGGGCTCAAGGGATCCTCCTACCTCAGCCTCTGGAGTTAGCTGGGACTATAGGTGTGTGCCACTACACCCGACTAATTTTTGAATTTTTAGTAGAGACAAGGTTTCCCTATGTTGCCTAGGCTGGTCCCAAACTCCTGGGCTCAAGCAATCCTCCAGCCTTGGCCTCCCAAAAGTGTTGGGTTTACAGGCATGAGCCACCTTGCTTGGCAGATTAGTGAATTGGTCACTTTTTAAAAAGATTTTAAAAGGTATGATTTATGTAGCATAAAATTCATTTATTTTAACTGTACGATTCAATGATTCTTAAAGAAGTTTTCAGGGTGGGCACGGTGGCTCACGCCTGTAGTCCCAGCACTTTGGGAGGCTGAGATGGATGGATCACTTAACGTCAGGAGTTTGAGACAAACCTGACCAATATGGTGAAGTGCCGTCTCTGCTAAAAATACAAAAATTAGCTGGGCACGGTGGCATGTGCCTGTAATCCCAGCTACTTGGGAGGCTGAGGCAGGAGAATTGCTTGAACCTGGGAGGCAAAGGTTGCAGTGAGCCAAGATTGCGTCACTCCACTCCACTACATCCTGGGCGACAGAACAAGACTCTGTCTCAAAAAAAAAATTTTTATCAGCCAGGTACGGTGGCTCACGCCTGTAATCCCAGCACTTTGGGAAGCCGAGGCAGGCGGATCGCTTGAGGTCAGGAACGAAACCAACCTGGATAACATGGCAAAACCCTGTATCTACCAAAAATACAAAAATTAGCCGGGCCTGGTGGCATGCGCCTAGAATCCCAGCTACTGGGGAGGCTGAGGCAGGAGAATCGCTGGAACCTGGGAGGCGGAGGTTGCGGTGAACTGAGATCCTGCCACTGCACTCCAGCCTGGGCAACAAAGTGAGACTCTGTCTCAAAACAAACCGATCAAACAAACAAAAACATTATTATTCGTCAGAAGCCTCTTCATCACCTGGAACCTTGTGGACATCAGTTATCCTTGGTAACTTCCCTTCCAGAACACCATTGTTATTGGCTGCTATGGTCTGAATGTGTTCCCCCAAATGCATGTCCTGAAACTTCATGGGAATGCGATAGTACTGAGAGGAGGGGCCTTTAGGAGACGATTAAGTCAGAAGAGCAGAGTCCCCATTATGGGATTAGGACTCTTATAAAAGGGATTCGGAGAGTGGCTCCCTTTTTTACCATGTGAGGACGCCTCGGCGGTGCTATCTATGAGGAACGGGCGGTCCTCAGACATGGAACCTGCTGCGACCTTGATCTTGGACCTCCCAGCTTCCAGAACTGCAAGAACATACATTTCTGTTGTTAATAAATTGCCCAGTCTCAAGTACTTTGTTACAGCAGTGCAAACAGACGGAACATTAGCTTATTCCTTTTTACGATTTCTCTGCCTTCATGTTAACAGGCTCTCTGAAGGGAGGTGAGACAAAAATGTGTGATCCAGGAGGTCAGGAAATCGAGACCATCCTGGCTAACACGGTGAAACCCCGTCTGTACTAAAACTACAAAAAATTAGCCAGGCGTGGTGGCGGGCGCCTGTAATCCCAGCTACTTGGGAGGCTGAGGCAGGATAATGGCGTGAACCCGGGAAGCAGAGCTTGCAGTGAGCTGAGATCCCGCCGCTGCACTTCAGCCTGGGCCACAGAGCGAGACTCTGTCTCAAAAAAAAAAAAAGAAAAACAAACAAACAAAAAAACTGTGATCCAATTTTGTTGCTCTGAACCGAATCTCTTTAAATTTTATTTTATTTAAAACTATAGAGGCTATATAGCCTCCCTCCCATTCCAGTCCAACACCAGCCTTTGCATGGGCCCTTTCTACTATCAGTTTTTTTATTTTTTATTTTTTTTGAGACGGAGTCTCGCTCTGTCACCCAGGCTGGAGTGCAGTGGCCGGATCTCAGCTCACTGCAAGCTCCGCCTCCCGGGTTCACGCCATTCTCCTGCCTCAGCCTCCCGAGTAGCTGGGACTACAGGCGCCCGCCACCTCGCCCGGCTAGTTTTTTGTATTTTTTAGTAGAGACGGGGTTTCACCGTGTTAACCAGGATGGTCTCGATCTCCCGACCTCGTGATCCGCCCGTCTCGGCCTCCCAAAGTGCTGGGATTACAGGCTTGAGCCACCGCGCCCGGCCCTACTATCAGTTTTAAATAGAGAACGTTCTTGTTCTGTTCATGAAGGTTTCATAAATGCTGGAGTTCAGTCATAACTAGAACTTAACATATCCGTTCCATCACTGTATTTTTCCAGATCCCTGGTAAATCCATATCTCGGGTCTCGTGGGGCGCATGCAATTCCATACTTTGTCACAGGGGGCGCTGCGGAGAAGGGCAGAGCTGTGCGCGCGGTCGCAGAGAGCGCCGTCCAGGAGGGGGCGCGTCCGTGGGGCTGGATCTGTGCGAGCCCTGCGCAACGTTGGGGGCGGGAACAACCCTGGCCCTGCGCCCGCGCGCTGCGGAGCCTCGTGATTGGAGGAGGCAACGGTCACTTGGCAGCGCCGTTGGGATTGGGGGAAGAGGGCCCCGGCTGGAGGTGACGCTGAGACGGCGAGGGTGAGTGGGGGCCGGCCGCTGCCGCACTTCGGGCGCTCATCCCTCATTTCTCTGTGGTGAATGGCGACGGGATGGAGCGCGAGGGGAGCGGCGGCAGCGGCGGGTCGGCCGGGCTCCTGCAGCAGATCCTGAGCCTGAAGGTTGTGCCGCGGGTGGGCAACGGGACCCTGTGCCCCAACTCTACTTCCCTCTGCTCCTTCCCAGGTACGGCCCGCCCCGCGCCTGCGCACTGCGCGCCCCGCCGTCGCCTCGGCAAGGCTGTGGGCGCCCCGAGTCTGGGCGGGGTCCCTGGTGCGCCGCTGATCTGCTGGGTGGGCGCTGTCCTCCTGGAGTTGGGTCCTGCTCCTTGTCCGGAGCCCCTTTCCCCGTCACTTCCTCGCCAGTCCCTGAGGCCGGGCCCCGGAGTCCCGCTGGGCGTGAGGTGCAGGGAACGGCCGCAGGTGGGCCCGGGACTGGAGGGCGCCCGGCCGCCACCCGAGCGTCTCAGGTTCAGAGCTGCACCCCACGAGCCCGGGAGGCGGTGATTCCTGCCCTGCCTGGGTTGCCGCACGGCGCCCGGCCTCCTTCGAGGTGCCTCGGAGCGGCCCGGCCCGGCTTGGCTGAGGGGTCAGAGTTCGCGCTCCCCTTGCCTTCGCTGATCGCTGGCGCCTCGGGCCAAATCCACCCGCTCCGAGACCCGCTCCGCTTTCTAGGAATCTCCCAGACCTGGTGCCACCTGTTGCCGGTTCTCCCACTAAGCCTTCCAGATCTTTGGCACAGCTTCCTTTGAACTCTTCCTCCCCGCTGCGGCGTGAGGTGGGCCTGCTAGGAGGGTTGCTCAGATTTCTGACGCCTGGAAGAAGTCTCCGTGCGCGGAAAGCTGGAGGGAGGAGAGAGGACTTCACCTGGGAAGGAGGAGAAAGGTTTTGAGGGGAGGCACAGTTATTTATGTAGACCTTGAAAGGCAAGAAGACTGGGGCCCCTGGCCCTGGAAGGGGAGGTGGGGCTCCCAGTAGAGGGCACTGAGATCTTCATAAACAATGAGGGACCAGAGCAGAGGGAAGGAGGACGAGATTCCAGCCTCTAGTTCCAAACAAGGCACCTGTGATTTCTCCTCCCCTGGGCAGCGACTGCCAGGCGCCTTTCAGCGCACACCTGGGACTTGCAGTGTTATAATGTGCCCAGGGATTTTCCTGGAGGGATTGTGAAGTAGCAGGTAAAGGTCATCAGGCAGGTTGGGGTCAGATGCAGATGTTCGCTTGTGGTCATGCCTGAAATGAGAGTCTGGCAGCTCACGTCATTTCAGAAGGTGCTGGGATCCCTTTAGACAGTGATATCAAAAAATTGATGGTATTCTGGGGACGCTGTGTGAAAAATGAAATGTTCTTGCAATCTGGAGGCACTACTGGGACCAGATTAATTTTTGTTTCCTTAATTTTTCCCTTTCCTGAAACATTTCGAGCCTGCCGAACAGTTGAGAGAACAGTACCCTTTACCTAGATTCAGTAATGTTTTGGTTTTTCGGGTTTCTCTTTCCATATATATCTAATCATATGTATTACCTATAACACTTAGATGTATGTCACATGTCCCATTTAAACTCGAGTTATTCAATAGGAAGTTGCAGAAGTCATAACACTTGATGCCTAGTAATCTTAGCATGTATCTTCTAAAAACCATTTTCTGTCATCCACAAAACCATATGACTTCCAAGAAATTGAACATGATAGAATAATGTTATCTAACGTATGGGCCTTGTTTAAATTTCCCCAATTGTCCACATAGATTTTTTTTCCTTAAAAAAAATATATATATATTCCATGATCTAAGGTTCACACATTACATTAAGTTGTCCCATCTCTTTAGTTTCATTTAGCTGAAGCAACTCCTTCCTTGTTTGAATTTTTTTCAGATGAACATTTTGGAAGAGTCCATGTGATTTGTTTTATAGACTGTTTTACAATCTAGGTTCATTAGATTTTCTTCATGATTAGATGTAGATTAAACATTTTTGGTCAGAAAGCCACCTAGCTAGGTGATGTCCACTAACCAGTACATCACATCAAGAGACATTGAATGTCAGCCCGGCGCGGTGGCTCACACCTGGAATCCCAGCACTTTGGGAGGCTGAGGCAGGCGTATTACCTGAGGTCACGAGTTCAAGACCAGCCTTGACTCTACTAAAAATACAAAAATTAGGCGTAGCAATGTGTACCTGTAATCCCAGCTACTTGGGAGGCTGAGGCACGAGAATCTCTTGAATCTAGGAGGCAGATGTTGCAGTGAGCCAAGATTGTGCCATTGCACTTCAGTCTGGGTGACAGAGCGAGACTTCGTCTCAACAAAAAAAGAGACATTTAATGTCAGTTTGTATCTTCATTGATAGTACTACTAAGTTTGATCATTTGGTGAAGATGGTGTCTGAAAACTCTACTGTAAGGGTATCTGCATCCTCTCTTACTACTAGGTCTGCTTAACGGGAGTGGCATTCATTATCCTGAATCTTGTGTATTGCTATTTTGGCCCCACAGAAAAGGTTACTTGCAGTTTATGCCAACTCATTATGGCAGAATCATTATTCTGAAGTATGCTGACGTATTTATGTATATGAGGAAGCACTGAATTGATTTTTTCTTTTTTTTTTTTTTTTTTTTGAGACGGAGTCTCACTCTGTCGCCCAGGCTGGAGTGCAGTGGCCGGATCTCAGTTCACTGCAAGCTCTGCTTCCCGGGTTCACGCCATTCTCCTGCCTCAGCCTCCCGAGTAGCTGGGACTACAGGCACCCGCCACCACGCCCGGCTAATTTTTTGTATTTTTTAGTAGAGACGGGGTTTCACCGGGTTAGCCAGGATGGTCTCGATCTCCTGACCTCGTGATCCACCCGTCTCGGCCTCCCAAAGTGCTGGGATTACAGGCTTGAGCCACCGCGCCCGGCCTGATTTTTTCTTTATTACCTGTATTTGCAGTTTAGCCATTTACCTAGGGAGGGTTAGGTAGACATCTAAATGACTAAATCGGCTAGTTGCGGTGGCTCACACCTGTAATCCCAGCACTTTGGGAGGCCAAAGCGGGCGGATCATCTGAGGTCAGGAGTTCGAGACTAACCTGGCCAACATGGTGACACCCCATCTCTACTAAAAATACAAAAATTTGCGGGGCGTGGTGGTGCATACCTGTAATTCTAGCTACTCGGGAGGCTGAGGCAGGAGAATAGCTTGAACCTGAGAGGGGAAGATTTCAGTGAGCCGACATCATGCCACTGCACTCCAACCTGGGCTACAGAGTGAGACTCTGTTTCAAAAATAAATAATTATAAGTAAATGGCTAAACTACAAATGCAGTTAAAATTTTTTCCTTTACCATTGTCATTTTTAACCTCAAAACCGAGAAACTGAGATCTTTATCTTTTTTTTTTTTTTGAGACGGAGTCTCACTCTGTTGCCCAGGCTGGAGTGCAGTGGCCGGATCTCAGCTCACTGCAAGCTCCGCCTCCCGGGTTCACGCCATTCTCCTGCCTCAGCCTCCCGAGTAGCGGGGACTACAGGCGCCCGCCACCTCGCCCTGCTAGTTTTTTGTAGTTTTAGTAGAGAAGGGGTTTCACTGTGTTCACCAGGATGGTTTCGATCTCCTGACCTCGTGATCCACCCGTCTCGGCCTCCCAAAGTGCTGGGATTACAGGCTTGAGCCACCGCGCCCGGCCGAGATCTTTATCTTGTATCAGGAATGACGTTCATCTTCGGAAGATACAGATTTCACTAAATCAGAGTCAAATTAGATCTTATTAAAATAATTAAAAACCCAGTAATATTTTTGTGTTGTCCTTGCGGAAGTCAAGACTGGTCACACTTGAACCGGTCATTTATTCATTCACTCAAAAAATATTTGCTCCGTGTTAATTGTGTGCCTGTTGTTTTCTAAGCACCAAGTCAAGATGCCATCATAACAAAACAAAGCCCCTTCCCACGTGGAACTTTCATTCAAATGGGGAGAGAGAAAACAAACAAAACAGCTGGTGGTGAGGGGCCTAGGAAGGGGGCAGGGCCTGTGTGGCTCAGGTGGAATGCCGTTTGCTGTAAAGTGATGGGGAGGCCCTGGATGGTGATGATATTGGAGTCAAAATCTGAAGAAAGTGAGTAGTGAGCTAATGAGCCAACAGCTACTGGAGGAAGAGCAAGTATTCTAGGCCAGGGAGCACCAGATTCAGAGGCCCTGGAACAGGAGCTTGCAGAAGAAACACTGAGGAGCCCAGGGTGCCTGGAGGGACTATGTGGGCAAGGGGGAGAGGAGGGGAGGGCAGATCCTGGAGAGCTCTACTGGGGAGTTTTGAGCAGAGATGGGATGATTCTGACTTTTTAAAAAAGTGTACAATCCAGTGGTGTTTAGTATATTTACAGAGTTATACAACTATCACAATTAGTTTGAGAATATTTGCATCATCTTGAGAAGAAACCTTCTTTGTACAAAGAAGAAACTTAGGAAATAATGGCTTTGCATGGAGAATAGATAGAAGACCCCATCAGGACGGACAGGGTCTGGTCAGGCTAGGACTGAGGTGAGGCAGGCCAGGGGCACACCCAGGAACCAGGGAGGAGCAGGCAGGCAGTATCCAGAGATAGGTGGTTGACTACAGTTGGTAGTTCAGTGGGCACATCCTCTTGTTAGGAAGAAGTGGAGGGGACATTTGGACCTCCAGGCAGGGAGGTGGGATTTGGCAAGAGAGGAGCCTCCCAGTGCACAACGTGCAGAGCTGTAGGCTGATGGGTGATTAGTATCAAGATAGCCCAACTTTAGCTTGGAGTTGCAGGACTACATAGACTTTTTTTTTTTTTTTTTTTTTTTTTTGAGACAGAGTTCAGCTCTGTCGTCCAGGCTGGAGTGCAGTGGTGTGATCTTGGCCTACTACAATCTCTGCCTTGCAGGATCAAGTGATTGTCCTGCCTCAGCCTCCCGAGTAGCTGGGATTACAGGCCGGCGCCATTACAGGCCGGCGCCACCACACCCAGCCAATTTTTGTACTTGTAGCAGAGACGGGGTTTCACCATGTTGGCCAGGCTGGTCTTGAACTCCTGACCTCAGGTGGTCCACCTACCTCGGCCTCCTAAAGTGCTGGGATTACAGGCATGAGCCACTGAGCCCTGCCCAGACTGCATAAGACTCTTAATCCTGAGGAGGACTCATGTGGTCTGCTTAGAACCCCAGAGGAACGGGCTGTGTTGACCCAGTTG